TGAGTCTCTGTGCGTATCTATGGATCTCTGAGTCCCTGTGCGTCTCTACGAGTCTGGATTTCTATGGGTATCTCTAAGTCTCTTCTTCTCGTACGGCTGCTGATGTAGATGGCAGAGCAGTAGCGGAGTCGTGAATCATCATAATCTCCTCCTTCGTATTTGTGGATCGGGGCATTGCTTCGTCATACATTGTACGGTCTATGTTCTGGACAAACCACAGTCACACCACCACTGCTCTTTTTAACGTTTCCATGTGTGCATCATTAGGGTATCTTCCGCTATCTGTTGTTGATGCTGCCACGGTTTGTGCAGAAGGATGACGCGGGTTAGGGTGGACCCATACACACACACACTCACATACATTCATATTCCCACACGCGCAGCTACGTGAAAGCAATCACTCGCCCACTCACTCACTAACCCACTCATAGACACACTCACTCACTCACTCACCCACTAACTTACTCATCAACCCACTCACCCAGTCATTCAAACACTCACACACACATCCACTCACTTACTAACTCACCCACTTACTCACCCAATAACTCACCCACTAACTCACTCACCAACCCACTCACACACCCACTCGATCACCCACTTATTCACCAGCTCACACAACCACTCACCCACTCAACTTCCCACTTACGCACTCAATTACCCACTCACATGCTCACTCACCAACTCACTCACCTAGTCACCCCTTGACTTCCCCACTAAATCCCCAACTCATTCACCCACTCACATACTCACCCGTTCACTCTTTCACCCATTCACACACTAACTCACTCACCAACTCACTCACCCACCCACCAAGTCACCCACTCATTCATCCACTTACCCAACCACACACTCACCTGCCCACTCACCCATTATCTAATTTCACCGACTCACCCACTCACCAACCCACTCATTCACGCACTCAACCACTCACTCACTAACCCACTCACCCGCGCACTCCCTCACTCGTTCACCCACTCACACACACATTCACGCACTCACCCACTCACTCGTCCACTCACCCACTCACTCACACACTGACCCAATTACTCACTCATAGACGCACTCACCCAATCATTTACCTATCCACCCACTTACCAACCCACTCCCCCACTCACGAACTCACTAACGTACCCAGTCACACAATCATCCACCTACACACTCTCCCACCCACACACTCTCCCACCCACCCACCCACTCATCCACTCACTCACCAACCCATCCACCCATTCACCCACTTAAAACCACTCACCCACCCACCTACTCATCCACATACTCACTCAACCACGCAATAACCCAATCACCTACTCACACACACACCCACTCACCCATTCATCCACTCACTCAGACTTAGTGTAAAGTGACCAATCTCTCGAACCCTGAGAGAATATCAGAATATTTCACATCACTTGGTGGGTAGACACCTTCTTAGTGAATATACCGTGAACGCACCATTATGATCCACCAGGTGGCGAGAGAGTGTTAATCACTGAGGCTCTACAAGCCAAAGTGATTAATACAAGCCTATGGGAGCCTCGGTCTGGCACTTTGGGTCTCGGTGATTAGCACTGAACCCTATGGTAGCCTTAGTCTGGTTCAGTGATCCTCAGTCATTAACACTGGACCCTGCTGATACCTTAGTATGGATCTGTGAGTCCCAGTGATAAACACTGAACCCTATGCGATGCTTGGTCTGGCTATGTGAGCCTCAGTGAATAACACTGAACCCTATGAGTGATTCAAAAGGGTAGGGGATGGTGGTTTGACTAGATCCACCCCTTCTCGGCTGCCTTTGTCTCCCCACAAAAGACAGATTCACCTCCTAGCCTTCCACAGAGATAGGGTGGTTGGTGGTAGTGATAGAGGTATCGATAGTTGTAGGGGTAGTTCTGGGGGGAGTGTTAGTAGTCGTTGCGGTGGTGGTAGGGGTAGTTGGTAGTGTTAGGGGTAGAGTGGTGGGGGTAGAGTGGTAGGGGTTGAGTGGTGGGGGTAGAGGGGTAGGGGTAGAGGGGTAGAGGTAGAGTGGTAGGGGTAGAGTGGTAGAGGTAGAGTGGTAGGGGTTGAGTGGTAGGGGTAGAGTGGTAAGGGTAGAGTGGTAGGGGTAGAGTGGTAGGCATAGAGTGGTAGTAGGGGTAGAGTGGTATGGGTAGAGTGGTATGGGTAGAGTGGTAGGGGTAGAGTGGTAGAGGTAGAGTTGTAGGGGTAAAGTGGTAGGGGTAGAGTTATAGGGGTAGACTGGTCAGGCTAGAGTGGTAGGGGTAGAGTGGTAGTGGTAGAGTGGTAGGGGTAGAGTGGTAGGGGTAGAGTGGTACGGGTAGAGTGGTAGGGGTAGGGTGGTAGGCATAGTGTGGTAGGCATAGAGTGGTAGTAGGGGTAGAGTGGTATGGGTAGAGTGGTAGGGGTAGAGTGGTAGGGGTAGAGTGGTAGGGGTAGAGTAGTAGGGGTAGAGTGGTAGAGGTAGAGTGGTAGGGGTAGAGTGGCAGGGGTAGAGTGGTAGGGGTAGAGTGGTAAAGGTAGAGTTGTAGGGGTAAAGTGGTAGGGGTAGAGTTATAGGGGTAGACTGGTCAGGCTAGAGTGGTAGGGGTAGAGTGGTAGTGGTAGAGTGGTAGGGGTAGAGTGGTAGGGGTAGAGTGGTACGGGTAGAGTGGTAGGGGTAGGGTGGTAGGCATAGAGTGGTAGGCATAGTGTGGTAGGCATAGAGTGGTAGTAGGGGTAGAGTGGTATGGGTAGAGTGGTAGGGGTAGATTGGTAGGGGTAGAGTGGTAGGGGTAGAGTAGTAGGGGTAGAGTGGTAGAGGTAGAGTGGTAGGGGTAGAGTGGCAGAGGTAGAGTGGTAGGGGTAGAGTGGTAGGGGTAGAGTGGTAGGTGTAGAGTGGTAAGGGTAGAGTGGTAGGGGTAGAGTGGTAGGGTTAGACTGGTAGAGGTAGAGTGGCAGGGGTAGAGTGATAGGGGTAGAGTGGTAGGGGTAGAGTGGTAGGGTAGAGTGGTAGGGGTAGAGTGGTAGGGGTAGAGTGGTAGGGGTAGAGTGGTACGGGTAGAGTGGTAGGGGTAGATTGGTAGGCATAGAGTGGTAGGCATAGAGTGGTAGGCATAGAGTGGTAGGCATAGAGTGGGAGTAGGGGTAGAGTGGTAGAGGTAGAGTGGTATGGGTAGAGTGGTAGGGGTAGAGTGGCAGGGGTAGAGTGGCAGGGGTAGAGTGGTAGGGGTAGAGTGGTAGGGGTAGAGTGGTAGGGGTAGATTGGTAGGCATAGAGTGGTAGGCATAGAGTGGTAGGCATAGAGTGGTAGGCATAGAGTGGGAGTAGGGGTAGAGTGGTAGAGGTATAGTGGTATGGGTAGAGTGGTAGGGGTAGAGTGGTAGGGGTAGAGTGGTAGGTGTAGAGTGGTAGGGGTAGAGTGGTAGGGGTAGAGTGGTAGGGGTAGAGTGGTAGGGGTAGAGTGGTAGGGGTAGAGTGGTAGGGGTAGAGTGGTAGGGGTAGAGTGGTAGGGGTAGAGTGGTAGGGGTAGAGTGGTAGGGGTAGAGTGGTAGTGGTAGGGGTAGAGTGGTAGGGGTAGAGTGGTACGGGTAGAGTGGTAGGGGTAGGGTGGTAAGCATAGAGTGGTAGGCATAGAGTGGTAGGCATAGAGTGGTAGTAGGGGTAGAGTGGTAGGGGTAGAGTGGTAGGGGTAGAGTGGTAGGGGTAGAGTGGTAGGGGTAGAGTGGTAGGGGTAGAGTGGTACGGGTAGAGTGGTAGGGGTAGAGTGGTAGGCATAGAGTGGTAGGCATAGAGTGGTAGGCATAGAGTGGTAGGCATAGAGTGGGAGTAGGGGTAGAGTGGTAGAGGTAGAGTGGTATGGGTAGAGTGGTAGGGGTAGAGTGGTAGGGGTAGAGTGGTAGGTGTAGAGTGGTAGGGGTAGAGTGGTAGGGGTAGAGTGGTAGGGGTAGAGTGGTAGGGGTAGAGTGGTAGGGGTAGAGTGGTACGGGTAGAGTGGTAGGGGTAGAGTGGTAGGGGAAGAGTGGTAGGGGTAGAGTGCTAGGGGTAGAGTGGTAGGGGTAGAGTGGTAGTGGTAGGGGTAGAGTGGTAGGGGTAGAGTGGTACGGGTAGAGTGGTACGGGTAGAGTGGTAGGGGTAGGGTGGTAAGCATAGAGTGGTAGGCATAGAGTGGTAGGCATAGAGTGGTAGTAGGGGTAGAGTGGTATGGGTAGAGTGGTATGGATAGAGTGGTAGGGGTAGAGTGGTAGGGGTAGAGTGGTAGGGGTAGAGTAGTAGGGGTAGAGTGGTAGAGGTAGAGTGGTAGGGGTAGAGTGGCAGGGGTAGAGTGGTAGGGGTAGAGTGGTACGGGTAGAGTGGTAGGGGTAGAGTGGTAGGGGTAGAGTGGTAGGGGTAGAGTGGTAGGGGTAGACTGGTAGAGGTAGAGTGGTAGGGGTAGAGTGGTAGGGGTAGAGTGGTAGGGTAGAGTGGTAGGGGTAGAGTGGTAGGAGTAGAGTAGTACGGGTAGAGTGGTAGGGGTAGAGTGATAGGCATAGAGTGGTAGGCATAGAGTGGTAGGCATAGAGTGGGAGTAGGGGTAGAGTGGTAGAGGTAGAGTGGTATGGGTAGAGTGGTAGGGGTAGAGTGCCAGGGGTAGAGTGGTAGGGGTAGAGTGGTAAGGGTAGAGTGGTAGGGGTAGAGTGGTAGGGGAAGAGTGGTAGGGGTAGAGTGGTAGGGGTAGAGTGGTAGGGGTAGACTGGTCAGGGTAGAGTAGTAGGAGTAAACTGGTAGGGGTGGAGTGGTAGGGGTAGAGTGGTAGGAGTAAACTGGTAGGGGTAAACTGGTAGGGGTAGAGTGGTAGGGGTAGAGTGATAGGGGTATATGTCAGTGTAGTTTGATGGATAGTCATATTTACATGGGTAGTGATACCGGTCGAGGTAGGGGTAGTGGTAGGGTATTAGTAATGTTTGTGGTAATGTTAAGGGTATAGGGAGAGTTGGTATGAGTGTGTGGCTCTGTTACAGCTCTAGGTCCACTCAGACCGAACTCACCTTTCGGACTCCTCCGTTTCCGTACCCGATCATCTCCCGACTCCTCTTGCTCCTGCAGTAATCCCTCAGCGGAAGTCTTCCCTCCCACAGCAGGATACAGTGGCCGCCTGAGTCCCTTCAAGAGGCTCCGTGATGATTTGGCCAATCCCCTATGCTCCTCTGTCAATCCCTCAGAGGAGTTTGTTGCTCTCATGGCGTCTTCCGTTAATCCTGTCCTATTTTCTCTCGACCTCTTAATTTCCTTGAAAAAGTTCCGGAAAGGTATTCCCAATCCCACAGCCTCCTGTGGCAATCTCTCTGAGGAGTTCGTTAATCCGGCAGCATCTTCCATTAATCCTTTTGAAGAAGTGTTATCCGCACCCCTCCGTTCTTCCATTAATTCCGTCCTGTTTTCTCTCGAACTCTTAATTTCCTTGAAAAAGTTCCGGGAAGGTATTCTCAATTCCACAGCCTCGTGCGGTAATCTCTCTGAGGAGTTCGTTGATCCCAAAGCGTCTTCCTGTAATCCTTTCGAAGGAGAGTTGTCCGCACCTCTCCTCCATTCTACGGTTAATCCCATCCTCCTCCTCCACTCCCTCAATCGCGCAATCCCCTTAAAGAAGTTCCGCCAGGACGTTTCCAACACCACAGGTCCCTCCGCCAATCCTGCCGGGGAGTCCGTCAATCCGACCGCGCCTCCCGTCAGTCCTGCGGCAGAGTGGCCATCCACGCCCCGGTGCTCTCCCGTCAACCTCCTCCCCATTCCCTCAGGGGAGCCTTCGCCCCCCACTCGCGTCGTCGCTTGCCTCATCGCCGGTGGCGGCCCCGACCCTCCACCACGTGGCATGCCGGTGGGAGGGCTCCTCAAACTGGTGGTGGAAGGATTCACCCGGCCCATGAAGTCTCCAGATTCTCCGGAAACAGATGCTGAGGGCATTGGCCCTGCGGAACCGGTAGTGGCTGCCACCATCGGAGGAGGATCAGGAGATTTGCGCGAACCCCGTTGGGTTGATCTCTCATGTCTACTACCCCAAGTTCCCCTCCACGGTTTTCCGCCTGGCCTCCTCCTCGTCCTCCTCCTCCCCACTGTTGGTATCTTCGGGAACATCGCAGGCCCCCCCACGGGTCCATCGGGAAGTTCTGTGATGCCCTTCCGACGTTCGGTCCGCCGCGCCCCGAACTCTTCCTCTAATGGCCTGGGCACCCCTCGCAACCCCAGAAATTCTTGCGGAATCGTCCGGGGGGAGGTCCTTGGCCTCACCGACACTTTCTTCAATTGCCAGGGAGCTTCCTGCCATCCTCTAGCAGTGTCTCTATCTGTTAGTCCCTCAGGGTCCTCGCTTAGTCCGGTAGTAGAATAAGGAGATGATAATGATGATGAATGGTTCTCTAATCGTGTAGAGTTCCTTTCTAATATATTTCTCTTGTCTCTCAATCCCCTAGAGATCTCAAACCCCACAGACTCCTCTCTCAGTTCTAGGGGATCTTCTATGAACATCTTCGACTCCCCACTCGCTCTCAATTCCCTAGAGACCTCAGCAGACCCTTCTCCTGGTCCAATAGGGTTTTCTCTGAAACTCTTCGACTCCCCCTTCTCTCTTAATCCCCTAGCGATCTTCAGTCTCTTGGACTTCTCTCCCAGTCCCTCAGAGTTTTCTACACCCAGGGACTCTGCTACTCTCAGCCCAGCATCGGGGAGAGGAGGAGGGGACGAAGATTTGAGCCTGAATCTCAGACATTCCCCCTGGGCCGCTGTGGAGACGTGGGTGAGGAATACGGTGATTGTGACAAACATCATCATCACCCGGGGAGCATCCATGACTCGTTAGGGGCTCATGGGTGGTGAGCGAGTGGGTAAGTAGGTGCGTAGATGATTGGGTGAACTTGTGGGCGGGCGAGTGGGTTGTGTAGGTGGGTGAATGAGTGGCCGAGTGAGTAATTAAGTGAGCGACTATGTGCGCGATTGGGTGAATGTGTGAGTGGGTAAGTGTGTGAGTCGGTGAGTGAGTGGGCGATTGGATGAATGAGTGGGTTATTGGGTGAGTGGGTGAATGAGCTAGCTGGTGAGTATTTGAGTGAATTAGTAGGCAGGCGTATTAATAATTGAATATGTGAAAGAGTGATTGGGTGAAGGAGTGGTTGAATGAATGTATGGTTGTGTGAGTGAAGGAATGAATAGGAGAGTAGATGAGCAACTGAGGGAAGTGGGTGGGTGATTATACGTGTGCAGTGTTAACGAATATGCCCATGTGTGAGTGCACCCCTATGCTGGTGTGTACAGGTAAGTGGACACGTGACCTGGACCCTGTCCCTTGACTCCGCCCCACTCAACACAGCCGCCCCCATCTCAACCCCCTCCCCTCCCACCTCCCTCTTTTCGAAATCCGCTGAAGCTCATGCACGGCTAAGTAGATATCGACGGAATGAATGAACCCCGGGTCAGCCCATCGGCTGCATGAAAAACGGCCAAAGTTTGAGTGCGGAAACTCTAGTATAGACGAATATAAGGAGCGTTAGCCGTTATAGAAACGGTAGCATTGATGAGCAGCGCCAGCGAATGAATTGGATGTGAAGGCAATGGTAGTTTACACGGTAGTCTGGATAGGTAATGATCGTTAATACGGGAGGCTTGTCTTAGCAAAGCGAGATATACTAGTATTGCTAGTTAGTATGGTAAGTATGGTAGTTTATATGGTAGTTATGCTAGTTTGATAATAATAGTATTGATACGTTTACCAGTTTAAAAAGTATAGTGTTAATAAGTAATGCAAGTTAGGGTTGCTAGGGTGCCAGTAAAGTGGTAGTTATGCTCGTTAATACATACCAGATTTGATAGAAATAGGGGTCAGGCTTGCAGATGCTGGTAAATAGTTTAGGTTAATAGTGGTATTTAGTTACAGTGGTATTTAAAGTTGTAGTTACAGTGGTAGTGATAGTTACGTGGTAGTTTGCGATGTTTACACTGGTTATAGTGGTAGTGATGCTAACACCGGTTACACTGGTAGTTAGTGATAGTTAACACTGGTTAGTGGTAGTTTGTAGTAGTTATTGATAACATTGGTTATAGTGGAAGTTAATGATAGTTAGTGATGTTACCTTAACAGAGTATAGCTTATCCCATCCCGTATTGTTAAATGTTAAATAATATATTACAATTGATTAAAATTGCTAGTTATTGCTAACCTTGGTTAGAAATGCTAGTTAAAATATTTGCCATGATTATAAATCCTAGTAACTATGTTACCATTGATTTTCAACGCGAGTCGATATGTTAATCTTAATTGGTAATACTTGTTAATATATTATCGTCGATTAGTAAGTATAGTTAATGTTAGCTAGTTAATGTTAGTCTTGATATTATCTTTATATTAAATATCGCTAATCTCTCCTAACTCTATCCAAATTCTCCTTTAACGCTCCCACCTTTGCCTACACTATCTATAAACTCTCCCTAACATCTCTTTATCCCTCTCTAAACTTACTATCTCCATCAGCTCACTCTCTAAACTCTCCCTCGGCGCCATTAACTTTCTCTCGCTCTCTCTCTTTCCAACTCGATTTTAAGATTTTTATCGCTCGCTTAACTCTCCCTTAGCTCTCTCTCTCTCCCTTAGATCGCCTCCAGTGCAACTCCATCGCTAATTGCGCACCGCTGCGTTAATGATCAGTGGACTCAGAGAAGCCTCCGTGTCTCTGTTGTGTGTCTGTGTGTGTCTTTCAGTCTCCCTGTGTGTGTCTGTGTGTCTATCCGTATCTCTCTGCGTTCGTGTGTGTCTCTCTGTGTCTCTCAGTATCTGTGTGTGTGTCTATCCGTGTCTCTCTGTGTGTAAGTATATGCGTCTCTGTGTCTGTGTGTCTCTGTGTGTCTCTCCGTGTCTCCGAGTCTCTCTGTGTTTGTCTGTGTCTCTCAGTGTCTAGCTTTCTCTCTGTCTCTCAATTAATCTCTCTGTGTCTATGTACGAGATCTGATGCTCTATATCTCTGTGTGCGTGTCTCTGTGTCTCTCCATGAGTCTCTGAGCCTGTCTCCCCGATTATTTCTGTCGTTCTCTCTATCTGTCCCTCCTCTCGCTGTCTCTCTCTCTCTCTCAGAGTCCCTCTCTCTCGCAGTCTATCTCTGGATCTCTGAGTATCTCTCTGAGTCTCTCTGTGTGTCTCTCTCTGTCTCTCCCCGTCTCTCAAGAGTCTCTCTCTCTCAGTGTCTCTCAGAGTCTCTCTCTCTTCTCTCTGCGTCTCCGCGCCTCTCCCCGCAATGTTTTATGAAACACGTGCGGTGCCGAGTGGAGCGAGAGGGGGGCGGGCGGGGAGAGGGGGAGGGAGGGAGGGGAGGGGAGGGAGGGGTGGAGTGTTCGAGGTGGAGACGGAGAAAAAGGGGGAGGGGGTTAACGGAGAAAGGGTGGAGAGAGTTCAGGAGAGTTTAAGAGAGGGAGAGAGGAGAATCCATTTCGTTATCTGCGTCACAAAATTTCTGACTAGAGATGCGTGAAGAAAGAAGGGGAAGGAAGGAGTGAAACAGAGTGAGAGGGGCAGAGAGTGGGAAAGAAATAGGGGAAGAAAGGAGAGAGACAGAGAGGGCAGGGGGAGAGAATATGAGAGAGAGGGAGGAGAGAAAGAGAGAGGAAAGGAGAAGGGAGAGAGTAGAGAGGGGAAGAAAGGAGAGAGACAGATATAGGGGGCTGGGGGAGAAAGAGAGAGGGAGTGTGGAGGACAGAGAGGGGGGAGTGTGTGGAGAAAGAGAGAGTGAGAGAGAGAGAATATAGGGAGAGAGTTAGGGGAGAGCTAAGAGAGGGATGACAGTGGAGAGGGTTTTGGAGAGTACGAGAGCTCAGGGAAGAGTTTAGTTAGAAGGGAGAGAACAGGGCTCTGAACGGAGAGTTTTTTGCTCCAGTTAAGAGGCGAGGGAGAGCGTTAAGGGAGAGTTAGGAGAGAGATCCGAAAGATTACCGTTATAGGAGAGAGGGATGAGAGAGTTAGAAGAGAGTTAAGGGTTAGAAAAAAAACAATTAGAGTCATAGGAGAGAGAGAGTTAAGAGAGAGAGAGAGTTAAAGAGAGAGGTTAGACAAAAACAATTAGAATTATAGGAGAGAGAGTTAAGAGAGAGTTAAAGAGAGCGGTTAGACAAAAACAATTAGAATTATAGGGGAGAGAGTTAAGAGAGAGTTAAAGAGAGCGGTTAGACAAAAACAATTAGAACTATAGGGGAGAGAGTTAAGAGAGAGTTAAAGAGAGAGGTTAGACAAAAACAATTAGAATTATAGGAGAGAGAGTTAAGAGAGAGTTAAAGAGAGCGGTTAGACAAAAACAATTAGAACTATAGGGGAGAGAGTTAAGATAGAGTTAAAGAGAGCGGTTAGACAAAAACAATTAGAATTATAGGAGAGAGAGTTAAGAGAGAGTTAAAGAGAGAGGTTAGACAAAAACAATTAGAATTATAGGGGAGAGAGTTAAGAGAGAGTTAAAGAGAGCGGTTAGACAAAAACAATTAGAACTATAGGGGAGAGAGTTAAGAGAGAGTTAAAGAGAGAGGTTAGACAAAAACAATTAGAATTATAGGGGTGGTGGGGGTAGAGAGTTAGGAGAGACTTAAAGCGAGAGCTAAGGATAAAGGTGAGAGAGGTTAGTCAGGGTGGGGGGCGAGAGAGCGGGAGAAGTAAAAAAAAAGTAAGGGGGGTGAGTAAAGGGAGAGTTCAAAGGGAGAGCCTCACTCGCTGCGTCACGCAGTCAGGCAGGGAGGGGGGGGTGCGCGGGAGCGTGGACATGCACCGCGCATTAATAAGTTCCGCACGCGCAAGGCCCGCGAGTGCGAGCATGCACCCCGCGAAACTCCCCCGCCCTCCCCCACTGCGGGGGCCAATTTGATTATTTATTTAATTCTGCTTGTTTACTTCTTTCGAGCCAGAACGTGGACAGGGTGGCAGTGGTACCGTACACACTATACACTACACTATACACTGCACTATACACTACACTATTCACTACACTATTCACTACCCTATTCACTACACTATACACTGCACTATACACTGCACTATACACTACACTATACACTGCACTATACACTACACTATACACTACACTATCCACTGCACTATACACTACACTATACACTGCACTATACACTGCACTATACACAACACTATACACTGCACTATTCACTACACTATACACTACACTATACACTGCAATATTCACTACACTATTCACTACACTATACACTACACTATACACTGCACTATACACTACACTATACACTGCACTATACACTGCACAATTCACTACTCTACACTATACACTACTATACACTATTCTATACACTACAGTATATACTACTATATACTACACTTTACAATACCTGTCAACCCCTTATCAGTGCCTACCTTATTACAGATCGATTCAGACCTTATTGGTCACCCCGTGCCCTTATAGATCTCAACGTTGATCTTCCAAAGTCCCATCACAAGAGAGAAACACAAAATAGACATTTTCTTTTGCCTTTATTAAACGGCTGTACACCGTATGGACCTGAATACTCAATTTCCCTGTACAGGAATACGGGGTAAACTGTGTGGGTTGACACGTATGGATACGATAAAAGCGGACACTTAGCGGCGGGTGTGTCTTTGCCCACATCTATGGTGTCACGGAGCGTCCTTTAGGTGTTTGGGATCGCTGTAATTCAGCGGTCGGGAACCTATGGCTCGCGAGCCATATATGGCTCTTCTGGTGACGGCATATGGCTCCCAGACAATTTTGAGTTGAAAAAAAAATACAAAAATCAGTTTGGAACTGATTTTAAAATACTTGTGATATTGCTTAATAATACTGTGTCATTTTAAAGTATACAGAAATTAGTTTTGAAGATACATTTCACGGATCACGGGGCCTCAACGCCTGCATGAAGCTCAACCTCACCACGTACGAACCAGACTACAAGGCCATCAGCAAAACCATGCAGCACCAGAAGTCGCATTAAAAGTGATACATATTTAATGTATTATACGTTAAAAATACTATATGGCTCTCAATGCAATATATTTAGAAATATTTGGCTTTTATGGCTCTCCCAGTCAAAAAGGTTCCCGACCCCTGCTGTAATTGGTACCAGTTTAAGAGCAAGCAAGTCTTTAAACTTTAAAGTTACCTCTTTCTGAAAAAGAAAAATTGGTTGTACCCCTTTCTGGCATTAAAACAGCAGTTGTGTTAAGATGTTCAAACACCAAATAAAACACCTTTTTGCAAGGAATCAAGTAACTGCATTAACCACACACAGTACTTTGTGGTGAACAGGCAAACAAACATTGCTCTGATAATATATGGGCATTGTGTTTGGAAACTGATTTGCCAACACCAGCGACAGCAGCCTTCTTTTGGGCCTAGTCTCTCACGACCAGTGTCAGACCAGAGTTTCAAGTTTTCAAGTTTTCATTTATTAGGTATAGCCCTGTGAGCCATGCGGCTCTTGAGTCGGGCGCAACCGCAACAAACACAACATGAACAGAGAAAATCTTAACGCGACGACGCGCAACAGAAACATCCTGGATAAACCAGCAAATCTTCCAGAAAAAAAAGAACAACGCTAAAAGGCGAACAGCACAAGGACAATGCCACTATCAGATCATTTATAGCTTGGGTTGAGCAGCTTCAATATGGGACCTCTTTGCCAGGATCAAAGTATGAAAAATTAAGAATACGGTTTGCCCTTTCTGATTAACACGTAGCAGGCTTTGGCGACAAATATCATCCATAATACAGTTTTTTTTGGGTTAGATCGCGTAAATATATAAATGTGTCGTTAAACCCGCCACCATCCGACACAGCCAACTAGTAAGGTTTGTCACGTAAACAGAACGTGGCCAAATTCGTTACTAGTACAGCACTAGTGTATAGTGTAGTGTGTAGTTGTATAGTAGTGTAGTGCGTAGTGTACTATACTAGTACAGCACACCGGTGTGTTGGAGAGCCAAGCCACAAAATTTACAATCTGAGTACCGTAACGTTTTGCCAGTAATTGCAACCAGCTTCATCAGGCGACAGACAGATTTTCCGAGACGTCCGCTTGCTTTCCCTGTTTAAGAGCATGGCAAGTGGCAGGCGTCCTCTTGATTTCCTTGTCTTTGATTGGCTAAGGTGCCGTTTTTTTACGCCCATATATGGGCAAAGATGTGTCCGCAAAAATAGAGTTTTGTGTAAAACAAATTTCAGATAGCGCGCACCTCCATATACCCCGCATGCATTCATATATTTAATGTCGTTACCGCAGCTCAATTCCATCATATTAATACGAAGTTTACATTTGTAATACATTCCACTATCAATTGTTAACATTAAAATCATAACGTGCACAAAGAAAACAAACTAACCGGAAACGAGTGAACTTTAAACAGTAAATAAGTAACAAAAGTAAATCTCCAATACATAATTAACACATAACTGGTAGATAAGTAAGTACAGTTTTAGCACTGGTAGATCGCTCACTGCGCAGACAATAGTGGCACTACGGTAACGCCGTTGCCTCGCCCCAGCTGCCCCAACCCCCCCACCTCTCTCCCCCCAGCTCTCCCGTCGCCGGTAAACAGTGCGCGAACTTCAAACATTGTCGTTTAATTGTACAAACAATTAATTTAAAACGTGATAACACGTGCAATTTTAGTGTGAGTAGTTAATTCAGCAGTGCTTTAGTCAAAGGTAACTGTTGCATAGTGGATAGTCCTACCATGAAACAATTTAACGAGTTATGACATGTCATAAGTTTAAAATATTTTTGGGATGGCCCGTACCTCCATATACCCCGCAGGGTCTTGTTTTGTTTGTAAAAAATTAACCCGTAAAAACACTATAAATCCTTTATATGCGTGGCGGCTAGAGTCCTCTCGTCCTCTGGCTTGAGATGGCTGCCACCTATGGGTCAGATGATTGCCTGCCACCATTAAGCAATTGGTAATTAAATATAATTTCTTTTTTCCTAAAAAGTGTAAAATTTTGGAAAAAAATTTCACGAAAATAAATTGTCATGCACAACGAGTCTGTGTGCAAAATGTCAGCTCGATTGGATCACGGGAAATGGGTTAAAAAACGACCGAAAGATTTGCACGGTCGTAAGCGCGCAAACAAGCAAGTGAACTTAATATAAATGATTTAAAAAGTGGTCTACCCCGCGGGTTATATGCGGGAAAATACGGTAATTACTCGATCCATGGATCGATTGCAAATTAATCAACAGCGATTAACTATAGAA